TTCATTCCCACCTCTTCAGCATTGATGCAGTTAACAGTGACACGCAATTACTTTTGTTACTACAAGAGCGGGAATGAGCTATACCAGTATAACATGATCCACACTAGAAAGGTGTCTATTTTGGCACATAAAAAGGAGTAAGATTTGCATATACATTGGTTTGTCTTCAGTCTGGGAGTAATTCCAATGATTTTTATGAAACTCCACACATGCATGCCCCACCTGACATGCTTTGAGTTTTTGCAGCACAGCATGCAGGAAGGCACTTGGGAGTCTACAGTCTAGAGGGTTATTTGAAGTGCTTATTTTAAGTGCTTGTAACACCTAACACATATACATTATACCATATTACTTGTGGCTATTCCCATACAAAAGAATTGGAAGCTATGCAAGAAAGAAATTGACGTGGGGAAAGAAGTGGATTGAATTTATAGCTGAGCACTCAGCTGAAAACTGGGGGTCACAAACTCTTGCATGGGGTTTTCTCCACTGCCCAGCCTTATTCAAAACAAAAAAGTCACAGAACAGACCATGCTAAAAAAAGGCACAAGACGAAGTTATTCACAGCAGCCTTCGAAACAGAGAATTTAAACAGAATGTGTCCCGCCAATGAGCTTTGCTTCTTACAATTTAAGAACAGTTTTGGCTTTTTTCTAAGGTTCATTGTGATGATAAGTGCACAAAAGTGTATGGTATGCACTGCCGCTTATTAGCATTTAATGCTTCTTGAACAACTACAATGCAAATATTCATCACAATAGATGGGAACCTTGGTGGAAACAAGAATTCCCACAAATTGTTTAAGAGTACAGTAAATGAATAGTATTATAAACAAAAAGCCCAAATCCCTCACAAATGCGTATGTTGCATTTGCTTACAGATTAGCCCACTACACATTCATTGTGCAACTGCATTTGTAGAAACCCCTTTGAACAACAACAAAAAACCCTATACCCTAACAAGAAGTGTTTTCTATTCATAGATGTGTGCAAGTCAAACAAATCATATCTGTCTCAAGGTTTGGTTGGGTGGTGGGGTTTTTTTGTATTAGTGACAGATTTTTGCATAAAAAGGATGTTACAGGACACAGTATGAAGTCAGACAATTTTAAAGGAGGCTCCATTTTGAAATCATTTAACTAACAGCGTATCAACACGCTAACGAACGTGGCAACTTTCAAAAGCAATGTTTGGAGCTTATTTCTAAGACAGTTTATTTCTAAGCCGCAGCTCAACACAAAACATGAGAAAATGTAAAAGACCGCGTAGGAAGTAATCAAAGCTGTGAACAAATGGCATGCTGACACCTTTTAGAACTACTTTTACTTCGCTTATACAACTAAGCAGCCAAAACATAAAACTAAATTTGCTTTATATAATGCATTAAGTTCTACATCCTGCACAAACTCATTTCCCAAGTCTCATCTCTCTGTTCAATACAGCAACATGTAAACACATTCTGCAAATGTGTTCTTGCTTATGATCAAGGTGCCTACAGGGAAAGAATACCTTTTTAGTCTACTCCTATGACTATATTTGAGGAGCAAAGGGGAAAAAACAGCCCTATTGCTTACTGTATCTTGGAAATTATTTCTTAAGAACTCTGAATATTTTTATCCGTATAATACATGAGAAAAAAAAGGGACATGATTCTGCTCACAGTACCTTTCATATCTTACTTATAGTTGTCAGAAATGACAATAATAGTAGCATAAGAGCACAAGAAACAGTTGTCTTTAGCATATGCACACCTGACAGTCTTTCTTGGAAAGTTGGTTTCCCCTGTCAACAGCACAAGATGAGAGATGGCGAGGGTGCGTATATACATACATCAGAACAAGAACGTGCCTGGCTAAAACCACAGTGAGCTGCAGTACTAAGAAAAACCTCATAACTCTTTTTTAAAACAGCCTCCAACAAGGGAAACACCTCTAGAATGGAGACGACGAAGAAGAAAGCCCACGGAATCGAGAGATCTCATCAGCCAGACCCAGGACGGGCAGGGGAAGGAGGAGTACCCTCCAACAGCTCCTCCATCCTGCCTCTCAGCCGAGGAGAGGAAGGGCGGAGAGCGAAGGGAGGAGGCAAAAGCGTGAAGGAGAAACGGCCCAAGAAGGGAAATATGTCAAGCATCGCCTCCGCTGAGGAGAAGTCCCCCCTCCACACCCACGCGTACACTCTTCGAGAGGAATAGGGGGGAAAAGCCCCCCCGCCCCCCAA